AGTGTATATTCTTAAAAAAGTACATTAGGAACATCTAAGAGTAAGATTACATGCAGTCAAAGCAGCATGCACACTGCACAAGTGAATCAATGACTGTAAAATGCATTCAAAATGCATTTTTAAAATGGTGACAGTGTAAATGATTTTCTTTATTAGAATACTGACAAAAACAGTAATTTTTTGAACATGATTTGCCTGATCAAAAACATGATTTGCCTGATCATCAATAAATCATAAGCATTAATATGGCTCACCTACATTTTACTAAGCCACTCGTCTTGGTATCTGAGTCTGACGAACTGCCCCCTGGTACCCCGTCGCCCTTTATTCAGGGACAGTGCCAGCTCCTCAGCTGGGGTGAGGGGAGGCGGAGGTGGACCCCACCTGTTTTACGGGCCTCAGCCTTCTTTCTATTGGCTACATAGAAAACTAAATTACATTAGATAGCTAAAGTACATGGCCTCAGTTTAGTAAGTTTAGAAAATATTATCTTGCAGGAGAATGTTTTTGTGTTTCATTTTGACTTGGTTCACACTTCTTATGGCTCCAGAACCTTATAAAAACCTAACATATCCAATTATGTGCATTACTACTGTAATATTAAGAAATGTATGGAGGCCAACAAATAAATAGGCTACTTGTCTATTTTTATCATTTAATAATAATTTTTGCCTAATTACAGGGGAAAATAGCCCATTTATAATTTCTTTTAATAATTTATAAAACTCACGCATTTACTCTATCTGTTATTTTTTTGCCAAGCCAACTCTCTTTCTTTTGCTGATGCAGCAGTATTGTTGTTGTTTTTTTTAGTTATAACGGGCTTGTAGGCTTCAAGCAAGCATTAAAACCTCCAACTTAGTTTCACCGAAGTATGTAGCTCGTTTTTTTGTCCCTTGGTTTCCATGGTGACTCCTGATTTCTGCGATCCATTGAAAATGCCTTTATGTTCTTGCCGTGCGCGCGCATTAACCCTGGGTTACCAATAGGAGGTTGATTAAACTAACTCCTCACAGGTGTTTTGGAACCGACATACCCAGAGTAAGCTAGTTTGGGGTTAATCAACCAAGAGTTCAAGGTTTATCTGACGGTAAGTTAACCTTGCTTTCTGGAATACACCCCAGGACTGACTGAACAGAGGGAAACTAAATACAGATACAAATGAACACTAACAAGGTGAGGACAAGTGACACAGATGATGACGATGAACAGGTGGGTAATGAGCGAGTGAGTTCAGGTGTGGAGACACGAGGGATTCTGGGAACTAGTATAGCGAAGATGAAGACAAGAGGCTTGTTTGAGATGCGCCTTGCCTCGCCTGAAATGTATGCGAGTAGGCGGCTGCAGTGAGGGGAGGAGGGATAAAAACGCAGTCAAGCCGGACAAATCTGAGTGGGCCTGACACCTGTGAGATCAAAGACTGATATCACGGGATTAACGCTTGTGCACGGTGTTGCTAATAAACTGGATGTGATTTAATTTACTTTTAAATGAAATTAAATACAACGAACAAGACACCCAAAGTACTTTGTTATTTAATTACATTCCAAATGTCTTTATCAATCATTTTTTCTTTAATACAGACATTTTTTTATATATATTGTTTTAATAAAAATGACATCACATAATAACCCATATCGCACTGTCAGAGAGTTTATTCACCCATAACATTTATGTATGTATACACATAAAACATGATATCAGAGTTTTAAAATTAAACATTTTAAAAGAGAACAATACATCACAGTTGTTTAAACCAATGAGCATTAAGCTGTGTCATCAGCAAGTTGTTTCCCATCATGCTTCTGATCAGCGGAGTTGGTGAAGACAGATGCTGCGTCCCAATTCGCATACTATCCATCCTAAATAGTATTCGAAAATAGAATTAGTACGTCCCAAATCGTAGTATGTTGAAATGAGTGTTTCAAAGATACCCGGATGGTCTACTTTTTCCGGTCAGAATCCGAAGTGTAGATCGATGCACACTCTAACGGCTGATATTGCCCACAAACCATTGCGCGTTGGACGAGGATTCTGTTAGAACTACAAACACAAGTAAAAAGTGTTAAAAAACTACAGACACGTAGTCGATACGGAGGACGCGCGAGTCCCCGCGGTTGTGTAGAGAGGTTTAGATAAAGAGCTTTGAGTGGTTAATTATCAGTATCTAACCTGACGAAAATGAATTTATTCAATGTTGTCCACATTATATTGCATTTGCAGCAGCATTGTGAAGTTTTGTAAAGACACGTTTAACCATTACGTTTTAAATGCATCATTAGCCTATATTCAAATTGCAAACACGAGGAGAGCATGAAAGACCCACGACTGGCAGATCAACGTGCTCCGAAACGGTAGGAAATAAAATTAGATAGAATGGAGGATTTTAACTGTGACAAGATGATTGACAGGGCAGTTCCCAGACAGCAAACTGACATTGAATCAACGTGGAAACGACGTCTCTCATGACATTGAAGCAACGTTGATTTGCTCATCGAATTAACGTTGAACCAACGTCAGACGCGGCATTCTTCAAAGCTAAATGAAATCGAAAATTGGTTTGCTTTCATAACGTTGAAACAACGCGTTGATTTCAAGTTGATTTTCCGTTAGTTTTGAAAGAATGAATTTAGAATTTCAACGTTAATTCGATAAACAAAACAATGTCAGATCAACGTTGTTTCGATGTCATATTTCCACGTTGATTCAATGTCAGTTTGCTATCTGGGTTACGGTGACAGGATGCACGCAGCACGCGACAGAGCTGTCCGTTAAAGATGACGTGATAGTATGTCCCAAAGCTTGCCTACTCTTTTGCTACACACTCAAAAGTATGTATTTTTCCTCACAAAAAGAGTACATACTTTTAGGGCGTAGTATAAGTAAGCAAATTGGGACGCAGCAAGAGAATGTCTAATTGAAGAGAATTGGCACTGGCTGCAGTAACACGTCTCTGTCCATGCGGGGACGCTCACGGTCGAGTGCAGAATGAATGGGAGTTAATGGGGTTTCACCCCCATAAATCCACTTTTCTCAGGATGTAATTTTTTGTCAAGTAATTTGAAAGTTGCATTCAAAAGGGAGGGCCAAGATAATACACTCAGCTGAAAATTGCATTTTTAAGTTCACTTATCTATTCTAAAAATCCGTTCAAAATGTGATGACGTCACACAATAGCAGAATGCTAGCGTGTTCCGGCCAACAACGGCCTAACCTGTAAGAAATCAAAAGGACATAAGTACTCGTTCATTCGACTTTTGGCCTATAATCTATATTGAACTTGCGGAATTAACAATAAAATCTGTTAATTTAACGACAAGCAGGTGAAAGAGACAATTTTAGCCGTTTAGCCCCATAGACTCCCATTCATTCTGCTCTCGCCCGCGATCACCTCCAGTGGAATTCTAATGGAACTGCAAGCAGGATGATACACAATGGGGCTAATAGTAAATGTGCCAAGGCTCTCCGTTAGACGGGCTCTGGTGAAGAGCAAATCCGCACGACTGCAGAATCCGACACTTCCGCCTTGCGCTCGCGAGAGTTTTTTGACATACGTCAGCATGACATCAGAGCCAGGCAGATCGCACTCGGACACATTTCTAACCGGCATGCATCTCGTGCTGATCACTGGTGATTGTTCTGAGCAGATTTTTCTCATCTCAAACAAGCCTAAGATGTCATTTGAACTAGATACATACAGCATTTGTTTGAACTAGAATAAAGTTCAAAATAAGCCTATATCAATGAAGTGGTGTCAACGTTTTTTAATCAGTTTTATTTTGATAAACATGACAAAATATAACATCGCGACTACATGAAAAGAATGTTTACTGTTATAAAAAACTGATTTGTGAGCTTTAGTGGAACTAAAGGTGTGAGATTAAACACGAAACGCACGTGATCGTTGTCATGCGGTGAATCCGGCGAATCCTGGAACAGCTGTGACGTCATCAGAGCTTGTGCAGCTGCTCTTGAGAAGCAGCGCTGGCTGAGTTCTCCGGCTACTCCCGAATCACTCTCGCGGTACTTTGATGGCATACGTGTCATGTGGAGTCAGGGCTGCATTAAGTAGGAAAAAATTTCTAACCGGCATGCACATGTGTCAAGTAAGCCACCGATCGGTCTGCGCAGAGCTCTCGCATCTCTCTCACACACCAGTCTCGCATCTCTCACTGAGAAATAAGTCGAACAAGCCTCAAGACTGTGACAGTTATACTGACCTATGTTTTTCTTTTACCCAAAATATTATATATATACTGTATATATATATATATATATATATATACAGAGATTTTATATATATATAATTAGTTTTATTCGAATTCATTCATGATAGGCATGTTTATTCTGAATGTTTTGGGGAGTCATATTCAAAAATGCGAGGCTGACACAATTGTCCTGATATATATATATATATATATATATATATAACACGAATTATATAAAATATTTGAGAATCTTTATTCTAATATTTATATCTAATATGTTTTTAGTTTTAGAAATTATGTTTGCCTCACTAATATATACATTATTTTTTTTCATAACCTTGTATTCCAGTTGTATAAAGTTGAAAAATATGCCACATTCTCTCTTTACTGCACAAAAGTTTTGAAAGAATCACTTCTGTCCTCTGTGAAAGAGTAACACTTTCATATTAGTAACCCGTGTTGTAAAGTACAAGTATCTGACTACTTATAACACCCATCTATCACAGCTATCACTAGCACAGCAGGCAAATCAATATAAGCTCAAGAATAACAACTATCCAATGTGATTTGAATATGAGTATTCAGCAAGAACATATTCTTGCTCAACCTAATTTTTCTCAAACCCACCTGTTCTCTCACATTTAGTCAAGGATATTGGTGTCTCAGACATGCTGCTCACATATTTGCTTTTGGGCATCTGTATTCAATACATATGAATGTACTGTACATTATGAATGTTATTCTTTGCTTTTGAAAGGCAAAATGTTCGATCTCCTCTTTTTCTCGTTGCAGGTAAATACGTCTACCAACCCATGACCAGTGTATGCCAACTTCCCAGCACATTGGTTCCAGTGGCCCCCTCAGGTCACACCCACACCATGAACTTGTCCATCTCGCTGGCTGAACGCTTTCTTAAGACGGCTCCCAAGTTCCGGGCTCCACCCTGCCTAGAGTCTCCCAAATTCTGCGTCATCTCTGACCTCTTTGTGGATGATTACATGGTCAAACGTATCAACGGTAAGATGTGTTATGTGCAAAGGCCACCTCCACCTGCACCGAATGCCACACACCAACCTCAAACGCCGGCATCTCAACCTGCAACCCAACATACCAACAAGCACAGACAGGAAGTGGGCCCGACTGTTAAACACGGTCAACAAAATGAGAAGATCTCAGGCCCTAAAATGGACCACTGCTCCTCTCCTTCCAGCTCTGAAGACTCTGGAATAAATGCATTGGGTCTGCACTACATGGAATCATGCGATGAGGACTCCTGCATGGATGATGATGATGATGATGATGATGTGGAAGAAGATGATGACGAGCTGAGTACTGATGGGGACTCCAGTCCCGGTAGCCTCTGGGAACAGGATGTGTGCACTTTACTGTCACCGTCCAAATCAATGGTTGAGATCATTGAGAAGATTGAGACTACTGTTTGACATGCCTTTCTGTTAATGCCACAGTGGGAATTCTTTTGTCACGGAAACACTTCCCTACACTATCCTATCTGCAGGTGCATGAGTTCAACCAACCAGTACAAGCAAACACTCCCTGTTATGGCAATGCCATCCGATGTTGTCCCAGAAAAACCTTTGAGAGATGAGTCATGGAGACTTCCTCTACTTACTACAACTCTCATTTCCCCTATAGTCTGTTACGCATGGTGAGGCTCATGTAGGTTACACTTAAGTAAGTGTGCTGACATACACATATCGTCAGAACTATGACCAAATTGGACTCAATACATGATAGAGTATTTCATGGATGAACAGATGTATCAAAGTTAAACTCAAAAACATGAGGCTACCCAGGGTATGTCTCTCCCTAGAGTGCTCAGCCACACTCTGTCCAATGCATAGAGGTGGAAGAGAGGATGGCTGATGCAATGTGGATAGATCTAGACTAAGACAGTCTGTGTGTGTTAGGAGGATGGAGAGTGCTACAAAGATATAAGGAGAAAGAGTGAGGCAGAGAGAGAGGCTTTCAACATCCTGTTAGCAAGATCAGTTAGAACAGTGGCTAAATCATGCATGAGCTCAGAGGACGGTAATGAAACTTTGTGATGAAAGGCGATTGAAGCTCAGCGCTTGAGGGAATGCCCTTTTGCTCAAACTCTCTCACACAGAGAGATTCCCAAGAGGCTAAGGCAAGGGTACATGATGGTTTCATGTCTAGCACCAGTCTATGTGGGAAGGACCCATCCTCCTATCCTCATCTTCCTCGAGGTTTGTGGCTTCTTTAGGAGTGGCATACAACTTTTTGACAATCAGTTATAGAAAAGTAGGTTTAAGAAGAATTGAGAAAGAGGAAAGAATAAAATTGTGTAACTTGTTTTCCAGGAACCTCATTGTGATCTTTGTTCCATTTTGTCCTGCGCCTGTACCTCTTTGTTTGAAGTATGTGTTGTTACTGTACATCGACAAAGCCAAAGGACTGCTTAGAGGCCATTCACACAAGGGACAGGGTCTTGTACATCTGCATTATATTTTTTTAATTGTTGGTCTATCTAAATGTAATGGACAGATGTTATTTGTCTTTACAGAACATCTCAGTTTTTTTGTTTTACTGCAGAAGAAAAAAAAGTCATACAGGTCTGGAACGACTAAAAGGTCAGTAAATGATAGAATTTTTGGATGAACCATCCCTTTAAAGGAGCACTTCACCCATTTCAACGTTAATCTTTATTAAAGGTGGATCATATGTGTAATCAAAATGTAAAATAATTTTTTAATTTGGTGCCCTCTTGACCGAGAAAATAACTGAAGGACGCATTTGCATGTAAGACAACAACTCCAACAATGCACCACATTGCACAGCTCCGCAAGCCACACTCACTAATCCAGAACAGCGCAAACAGAGAAAACACTCCTCTGTCTACAAGGCTAACGTTAGCTGTCGCCAGAGTTTGAAATGCATTTCACACAAAATTTCTAGTTAGTTGGCTGTGGCGAGCACGACGAGCGCGAGGGATGTAAGAGGACGGCGCAAGGCCATTGCTGTGAGTGATAATGAAAGATACCTGTGAGACACACCGGTCTCGCATCTCTCACGGAGGCATAAGGGAGGAGCGACCATGGCAGATCGAGAGATAAACAGGACTGATTTTATGTTGTGTTTTGTTTCTGTTGTGTTTGGACAGCATTCGTCAATTAGGGGCTGCTGGCAAATACTTTTCAATTTGTTCATTTTACTATTAAACAGTTTGCCGGTTCCCGCCTCCTTCCTAATCACAACAACGAACATTACATTGACAAACTCATTAGTGAATTACTCCTCGTTTGTATTTCTATATATGGTGAATTACTGCATGATACCTGGATGTTCAGTCAGGCGAAACTAGGATGGTTCACATCACAACACAAACGTCCATGTGCTCGTCTGATTCAGGGATTTCGTTCAGGAGAAATTGCCATTGTTGAAATTCTCTGCAGCAGACGGACTCTATCTGTGTTCGTAGTTCACAGCGAGAGCACAGGCACCAGCAGTCCGCCCAGCTCGAGCCAGTCCGGCTCCTCGACCGCGACAGGCAGCCGTCTCCTGCTCCTCCATCAGCCTCAGCTGCTCTAAACTATACTGCAGCTCGTAAAGATAGCCACGAACATCGGATTCGAGCAGCAAAATTTCAAAATCCTCTTCCATATATCATGTTTAGTTTCTTCCGTCATTGGCATAACTTCCTATCTCCACAGCGTTTGTTAGCTTAGCTTCCAAACAAGATGGCTGATATTGATTTCAGTATCTGCAAGTGAAGTCCCACCCACTGATCTCTAATAGGCCTGTAGGGTGAGTGGGTCTCACACCCTTGAATAATGAGGAGCTAAAGTTTGTAGTCTCTACATTTTTCAATGAAATGTGACTTCCTGCTTATTATGACCATTTTTACGTCATAATAAGCAGGAAGTAAAACACTTAAATCCTTATTTCTCCCATCTCAGGGGAAAATAAGGGAATAAACCATGACCATTCAAAAATATGACTGGGTTTCTAAAGATACAAAGCTTAATGCAAATGGGTGAAGTGTCCCTTCAATATGCCACATCAAGTTACGGCTGTTTTAAAACAGAAGAAATTTGAGGATTTAGGCAGGATATGTTCATTTAAATATGGACAAGTGTATTGAGGGTTCATATTAGCAACAATACACATTGATTGTCATCAATGCAACATTTACATTCATGTATTTTGGAGACACGGTTTACAAAGCTTGCATTGCATTCAAGGTAAAGCATTTTTGAGTTTGTGCATTCCAAGGGAATCAAACCCATGGCCTTGGTGTTTCTGGTGCCAGGTCTGATCAGGAAAACTATAAACCAGCCTTCAGGTCAGTTTCATTGCCCCTGTCTAGCTGTATTTAACGCAAGAACAAGCCCAGTGTGAAGGGCCCCTTAGTGTCACTGAAATCACATCTTTGAGACTTTCTCTGGCTGCAACAGTTTCAGTTATTCTTAAGAGTTTAAGAACATTTATTCCATTCAGACTTGACATAGCATCTCCAGGTCTCATTTAATACTTGTATTCAAGTTCATCTTATTGTATTGAGACCAAAAATAAGACAACTCAAGCACAGTTACGGACTGGTCAAAAATGGAGGGAAAAAAGTATGTCAGAACCTGTGTGTCATGAGGTGCTTCTTTACCCTTGTTCATTAAGCACATAAAACCACTCCAATATTTTTGTTTCTGTGAGAACTTGACTTAGGAGTCAGTCATATTGTAGACCAGGGGTGCCCAGTCCTACTCCCGGAGATGTACCTACCTGCAAATTTCTGCTCCAACCCTGATTAACAGGCCATTTAAACTACACCTTTTTCAACTAAAAACAGAAAACTTTTAATACATTTTGGCCATTCATTTACACCACAATGTTGTTTTGGGGGCTTAAACAAACGCAACAACCTGAATCTGTGTAAACGGTGATGGCATCCACATGCGAATTATGCGTTTAGTCTATAGCATGCACGTTTAAGATGCACGTTTGGCACAATTGCTCTGTAAAAGAATGCTTATGTGCACAGTTGCATTGCTTTTCTTTACAAAGTGACATCACCACATCACATGGCATGCATAATACAGAGCTTTTAGTTGTTTTTTACAGATCCATGTAAATGGGCATCATTTTGAACATTGTCATCTGTACAAAGAAAAGTATTTTTAGTACATCGTTGTCGGATTCAGGAGCATCCAACACTAGTCGATCCAAAACACTTGTCTGTAATTACAAGTCCTCCTGAAGATCTTAATTAGCTGGTTCAGTTGTGTTTGATCAGGTTTGGGGCTGAACTTTGCAGGATCAGATCTCCAGAAACAGGATTGTGAACCTGTTGTAGACAAAGTATGCATCCGAAATCATATACTTATAAACATAATATATAGTTGGTGAAAAACCAAAAACCAACGCTTTTTTTTTTCATCCCACTGCGCTATTTTCCCATTATTTTTCAATGTAAACACACTAGACGGACGTCTTTAATTGTTGCGCTCTGGTCTGGTTTATTTTGCATCATCCCAAGCATGACAGTGTTCTTGAAAATGCGGCACTCAAGTGGCCCTGAGTGTCTGATCGCACTGCTCTCACTGCTGAGAAGGAATACACTCATACATTAAATATCAAAATGCACAGAGAATTCACACATCAGTGTCTTGCTCCATATTTTTAAAGGGATTACAACTTTGTTTACCCAAAACTTTATGACAGTATATTTGCTAATTATGGGGCTATGAGCTGAGACTGCCAAGGATGTACTAATTGGATGAAAACCAATTGAAGTTATGGCTCAAAGATGTAACACTAGCTTAGTGTTTGCTAAACCTATGGAAATATATACAATAAGCACATATTTAACCACACTGCCTGAACAAAATGATCGTCACTGAAGGACCACAATCCATAGATGATGCAGGTGTCATTGTTTCAGAATGAATGAATATGACTATCCTTGTCTCTGCAGTTTCATATCAGGGACTGATACTGTAGCTAGATAAATATATACTGTAGATTTACACAAATACGCAAATATTAAAATATATCCCTTTTCTCTTTTTTTCTTATATCAATTATTGTTACTTGCCTTTTTTTCGTATAAAGAAATATTGAAAATAAGAAATGTTTCTGTCTTTATTTCTGAAAATATGTTTATGTTTTTTGTGGATCTCAGAAATTAACGTGATGCATTTCACAGAAACATTTTTGTGTGATTATTGAGCTGTCAGAGGCTAATTGCCTTGGCCTTTTAATCCTAGATAATCCTAGAGGAGTTCCAGTTCAATTCACCACCTTCATTATCAGAAAAGAGGACATGTGGGAATCGTAGATAAATACTTAGCAAAGAAACCGCCTCTGAAGCAGTAAGACCTTATGCCTACTTGGAAAACAGATGGGCCTACTAAAAGGAAATGGCTCCACAGAATATAAGCCTGAACCAATGAAATAACAAACAACAAAACTTCCTCTGTTGCTATGCACACTTTCATCTCTGTAAGATTACATCTGGAGAACTAGGTTGTTACAGAACCTCAAATGGTCTTTGTGACCACTAATAGGTAAGAAAAGTCACTGGTGACAAGCTATACAATGAATGTAACATTCACAAGTTCACATCTACATATAATTATTATGGCAAAGGTTATGCTTACTAGGTGTACTGTCCGGGTGGAGGGCTCCGAGCTCAGAATTTCTGCCTGAACCCAGAGTACTCTCCACGTTGGTAAGAGTAGATGGAACTAAAAGTGAGGAGATGGGGTGGAGGTGGGATGCTGATAAACTGTCAAGGAACAAAAGTGCGTTCTGCTGTCATTTATCTTGTCCTGAGTTGATTAGTGATTGATCTCCTCTTAAGCTTATTGAGTTCATTATCTGCACCTGCTCCTCCAGAACTTTGTTAAATAAAACATCATAATGTGTAGCTCTTCAATACGTGGTAATTATAGTAAAATTATCAATTCATTGCTAACCTACACAAAGCACATTTAATTTAGTAATGAATTTAAAAAAAACAGTGTTTCATTGTTTGTCTACCCTAATGAAAGCAGCTCTGCAGAGCTGGACAGTAACTAAGTAGCCTACATTTACTGTAATGTACTTAAGTGCACTTTTTGAGTATCAGTACTTTACTTGAGTATTATTTTTTGGGGAAACATGACAGTCCCTGTAAAGGCAATTCTACCAAAAAGTGGAACTGTGAAGTACTGAAATGTGGATTTAGACCGTTAAACAGCTTTTCACTATTGCAATTTCACGGATTGTTTGGGCGGGGCTAAAACAGGGCTCGATGACGCACTGGAGCCCATGAGCTCCTGGACACGCCCCTATTTGATGACGCACATAGTCTGATCTCTCCAC